ATGAAGGAGGTGAGAGGGATGAAGTGGCCTCCGTGTCTGGTGCCTCCACGAGGCAGGTGTGCGCAGGGAGTGAGGTGCGGAGACGAGGCGCACAGGTCAGGAAGGGCGTGTGCTGCACACCAGCTCACAGGCCCAGGTGCAGGGGAGCGCAGGAGCTGCGGGGGGATGGAGCCTGAAGCAAGCGCTGACTCTCAGATCATGGGGCCAGAACTAGGGGCTACACGACAATCTAGAAGACAGAGGAGGGCACATCTTGGGTGGGAAGAAGGGATCAAGTCAGAGGGATTACCAAGGGAGGAAGAGCATCCTTTAGGATAGGAAAAAGAGAACAGCTAAAATATCTTGTTTCTAAATTGAAATGCTACAGAACAAAATGTTTCCAAGGAAACCTCAAGTTACTTGTTAATTGTCTAGGGAGATTAGGCCGTCCAGAAGGACAAAACCTTTTTAGTTCATTAACTAAAAAGACATCAGGACATGGAGCTTTGTTTAAATAGAAGTGATCAGACGTCCCTTGTGGCTCAGTGGGTAAGAATCGACCTGCCAATGCAGGCGACATGGGTTTGATCCCTAGTCCAGGAAGATCCCACGTGCCACAGAGCTACTAAGCCCCCGTGCCACAACTGCTGACCCCATGTGCCATAACCACCGAGGCCTGCGCACCGAGGCCCTGCACTCCACCACCAGAGAAGCCACCACCAAACTCGAGAGTCGTTCCCACTCGCTGCAACGAGAGAAAGCCTGCACAAAGCAATGGAGACCCAGTGCAGCCAAAAGTAAAATAAATTAAAAAACAGAAGTGATGACCAACCTCAAAATCTCAAAGTTAGGGATGGGCTTTGTATACTATCTATGCATTCTTTTCCCCAGCCAATTTCAAGATTACTTTCCTTTTGGTGCAAAAAAAAAAAAAAGATGATAATGTTGGTGACAAGGAAGACAGCCAGGAAAACATTTTGGTGTGTAATCAATCTGCCAGAGTTGCTTCAAAAATGGGCTTATTTTTCCTGTCAAATCTGATCTTTCCAAACATTGGGGGAGCAATGAAAAACCTCTGGACATATTTCACATTAAAACAATACATATATGTCTATGTTTTGCTAAAATATTTTCCTCTGGCTGCTTGAATTTCGATGTGTTGCCAACTTTTAAAAGATGGTGTTTGGAGTGCAACTCTTTTACAAATAAAAAATAATATCAAGCAAAAAATCTACACAACTTATAAACACAGCAACAGGCTTACAATGTTAATTTGAGTGCGGATAATCCATGGGAATCCGAAGGAAAGAGAAACAGCTCAAGGACCCATACTTGGAGGCGTGTTTGGACCACCGATGAAAACGAGGACATGATGAACGTCCACACAGTCCTTTCTAGCTTGTAATGGGAACCTTTCCGAGGCGCTTGGACCCACAAATCAGAACTGCTGCCTAATCATGTTCAGGCATGAGGGCAAAGTCAAACATCCCTGCAAACTATGAGTGCGTGAAGCCTCCCATGCGAAGCAAGAAAGAACCACGTCCCTCCCGCGGGAGGCTCGGGTGTCTTGAAACTGTTTTGATAAGAGCAACTGAGCACATACGGCAAGAGCGGGAAACGCTGCAGCGTGCTGCCAATGGCAGGAAAGACCTCATCTGTCCCATGTTCTTTCTTGTGCTACGACTTCCTTATATTAGAGTGAAATTTCACCGGGCTGATTTCGGTATTTCTGGGTTTCAGTTGAAGGCAATTAAACAGAGGGGATACTAAACAGAAAGATGCACTGGGGCAATAAACTAGAAAATAACTAATCCGTCAACCTCAAGAGATGGGAATTTTTAAAACACAGGTGTCGGTGAGGCTCAACCAAACCGCTTCATTCCTAGATCTGGTCTTATGCTGATTTTGGAAAAGGCTTCATTAAATGGGAAATTTTCATTCTGTATAATGAATGTTCAGAGTCTTTCTCTCTAAAAATTACTACTAATCTTGGGAGTGAAAAAGATTCTTTTGTCATGATGCTCCCAGGAGATAAAAATCATCATTGGTAATCTTCACATCTAGGCTTTTCTGTGAGTAAAAATGACCCCTGCAGCTTCCTTGACTGCACGGTAGGTGGTCTCCCTCTCTTTTTTAAGGCCCTGAGAATCTTGGACATTGAAAGGCAGGCTCACATCAGTTTTGGAATGTACCATTTTGGCTGTTAAAAGGCAGGAAGTGGGGTGTGGCCTCTGGGTTGAACTACCAGTCTGCTCCAGAGTCCAGAAGTGCCCACGTGAGTGAGACTGGGTACCTGGGTTCGTGGAAAGAGGTGAGCACGGTAGCTGAGACATGGGAGCAACCAATAAGCATCAGCTAGACTTTAGTTATTAGAGTTACTGTGGTTGGTACTGTTGCTCTTGCTTTTGTTTTGGGGAGTAACTCTATGCTTTTAAAATTTAAATTAAATAAATTTTTTTTTACAATGTTGTGTTGGTTTCCTCCATACGACAGTGCCAACCAGTCACAATTATACCTCCATCTCCTCCCTGCTTGGCCTCCCGCCACTCCCCCGGTCTATCCCTGCAGTCCTCACAGAGCGCCAGACTGGGCTCCCTGTCCTGCACAACAACTGCTCATCAGCTACATTCTACCCTTGACAGTGCACGCATGATGACGCTACTTTCTCCACTCTCTCTCCCTCACTGTGTCCACAAGTCCATTTTCCACATCTGTGTCTCTATTCCTTCCCTGCAAATAGCTCACCAAAAACATTTTTCTAGATTCCATACATATATATATGCATTAATATACTGTATTTATTTTTCTGCCCTACTTTACTATGTATAATAGGCCCTGGGTTCATTCACCTCACTAGAACTGACTGAAATTCTTTTTCTTTAATGGCTGGGAAATATTCCATTATATATATGTACAACTGTTATATTGCCCTTTTCTCTTATAATCTTAATTTCAGTGAGTCAAGTGTGAAAGCACAGAACTTGTTGAGAATCAATACCAAAAAAAAAAAAAAAAATAAGACTGAATATTCCTGTTTCTCTCTTCTCTCAAAGATTTCAATTAGTGAGCAACTGGGTAAATATCATATAGAATTTTATTTTATACAGTTGCATATATTATATACATAAAATATATATGTATACACTACAAATATAATATCTATATACACACACGTATATAGACCTGTAATTTCCCCTCTAACATACACTGATATATATGTATTTACACATGAGATGTGCACACCTCATACACAGACTTTGTCATCTTAGAAAAGCTGAAAAATAGTGACTTAAAAAGCATTTATATCCTATTGTTTTCAAGCTTACAGAAAGATATGGCCATAAAGTTAAGAAATTTTATTTTAAAAAATTTAGGTATTTTATGTCTTTTGAAGTTCTTGAGTCTAATTTTAAATTGCAACTTGACTTTCAAATGTCGAATTGTAAACAGGCCTCTCGTGTCTCTTGTTGACTGTAACCACGTTTGACTTGTTAGTTCTAGAGTCAGGGTAGGGGACGATTAAGGATCCATTTTCCCCTTCTAGTTATGTGATTTAGGATGACAGGAGATAGAACTGCTTCTATTTAGCTCTTAATTACAGAAACCAACGAGAAGATTAAGACTTACTTCTACTAGTTTGTAAATTACTACTTCAGCATATGGACTTAAACCAAACTCCAGCTTGAGTGTATCTCTAATAGTTCCAAACTTCCCAGAATATGTCTTTCTAAATATTATCTTTGTTGGGTGTTAAGAGTAACTAAGACAACTCTTCTGGATGATTTACATAGCTTTAACTTTAACCTCAAAAATTCCATTATTCCCATGGTAGTGGAGGAAGGGGGGGGAATGAGAGGCAGTCAGAAAGAGAGGAGAAGAGAGAGAGAGGGAGAGAGAGAGGGGAGGAGAAACTACAAACTTCTATCCATGAGTTATTTTAGATCATGTATTTAAATTGTAAGTTACAATTTTTAAGCGGCGGGGTGAGAAAAAAGGCAAGAATAAATTAAGAAAGACTATAGACCTTTTGGCACAATGCCTTTAAAAATATAGCTTAACTAATCCTTGAAATGTTCCTCTTGACCTATTATATATATGAGGACTCTGTGGTTCCCCCAAAGCTGAGCAGCTTATCTAGAGTTCACAGAAAATGGAGGAACAGTTGTGCACTGCCTGGAGCCCACAGACTTCTCACACACACACCTGGCTGGTCTGCATTTGTATTTAACTGTGTATTTTAACTGCCAAAGACACAGGCATCTATACCATGGCAGTGAATGAGCTTCCTGATGTTCTTGCACATAAGCGAATTTTAAAATGAACTGGCCCACCCACAGTTCACAGCAACTCAAGGCAGAAGAACCAATCCTGACAGTGATGCGAGATGAACAGACTAGCATGTGATTAAGTCTGCCTGATCGGGAAAATGACGAAACCATGAGAAACCATAGAGAAACTTAACAGGTCTAACGTGTGATGAACTCAGTAAGAGGGAAGTTGTGGCGGGGGGAGTGGTCTTCATGGAGTGTGGCCCTGAGTTACCCAGAAAACCCAAAGGGGTGTCCTTCCTCATGCTCTAGCTCAAGAGTCTTCTAAAGCCTGTATTTCAAGAAACCACAGTTTAGAACATGCTAGAAACAGCGATGCTTCCTTATACTAATTTTTCGTTTTCTGCATCACACGAACCCAACACACTGACATGCCCTTGGCCCCTCCCGCCGGATGGTAGGTCACCTGCTCGCCTCTGAGCTGTGGTTTCACCCTTTGCTGCCACGGGGTGGACTTCTAGGGCTGCCCAAATGGTCTGCCTCCCACACATGCTGTTACTGACCTGCTGGATTTTGAGTGAATATAACATCATGCTGTTTTCTATTGCCAGTGATAAAACAGCAAGATTTCCCCATATCAGAGCAAGGCACACGTCTTTCAAGAGATGTTTTAAAAGGCAGGGAAACAAATTAGGAATACAATGTCTCATTGTTTGACCAATGACTGTCTTTCTGACGCTTGCTCTTTTCTAGCTTGAGAATTACATCCAGGACAGCATGAAGAAAGAAATGGTGGAGATACAACAGAATGCGGTGCAGAACCAGACCGCTGTGATGATAGAAATAGGGACCAACCTGCTAAATCAAACTGCAGAGCAGACCCGGAAGTTAACCGATGTTGAAGCCCAAGTAAGTAGGGAAACGGGGAACACAGAGTGGCCCAGACTGACAAATAACTAGCACAAAATCATTACCTAATGACACGAGGGAGAAGCAGAGAAAGCTCCAGAAAAGCTGAAAGAAGGATGACTCGATAAGAAGTTAAGAATTTGTGTCTAGATAGAAATTACAATCAGGAAATACATGTTTTTAATGCTGACATACATTACATGTATTCTGCTGAGGACATTCAGACCAGTCTCACATTACTCACACCCGCCACAAGGTAAGTGTCCACTGCCCTGCCGGTGTGCTCTGGGCCCCAGACGGGCTCTTCGGTTCCGAGCCCTGAACGTTCTGTGTGCTTGAGACACGAAGAGCACTGAGGCAGAGTGCTACAGACTTGGTTCTTAACCCGAACTCTCGAGTTAAGATGCTACCTAAGCTCACAGAACTGCCGAAACAGTTTATGTGGTGTGAGTTTATGCAATTCGTGGTGTGAGCTTACAGAGAAAGCGGCAAAGGGAAGAGCAAGGAGCGCAGCTGAGGCGCAGAGAGGGTTTGACTTTCGGCCCAAAGACCTGAGCTCCACAGCTGGCCCGATGACGCAGCGGAGCGAGGCTCCAGCTTTCCGCAGGCCTCCGAGGCAGTGACCCTGAACAGGAGAGCTGGCCAGGTCCCTGTGAGCTTTAAGGTTCTGTGAGCTATCAATTAACGGTAGGAAAGAAGAATATGAACTATGAAAATATCAGAAGAATAACAGCAAAACGAGAGACTGAAGTTCGTCTGGAGCCATGCTGGATGGCCCGCCGCATGTGACCCAGTACAAAGAGTCCAGGTGGGGAAACAGTGCTGTTGGGGGATCTATGGAGAAGCTCCAAGTTCAAGATTCACCACTGATAAGATGGCCTGCTGGGTTCTAATCCTGACTTCTTTATAGGCTTATGAGGAGCATCTTCCTACCAGAAGTTATAAGTAATGCTCAAAAAAAAAAAGTAGATTTAACTGAAAATGGTTCCCATGACATATTATTCCTGTATAATCTTATGATTCATGTGCTACTTAAGCTAAAGGACCAAGACATGCCCCGCATCAGCCAGGAGGGGATAAAGGATAAGAGAAATCAGGTAAATTAAATGTAACAAGTTAAGACACAAACATCGAAAAGTAAATGTATACACATACCCATGGTCAACTATTAAAATAGATTACTAATATTTGAGTCACAAGCCCACCTTCTGAGAATACAACTGATGAGCAATCAAGCCCTTCAGAAAACAGTCCTGGGGCTTCCCTGGTGGCGCAGTGGGTAAGACTCTGCCTGCCAATGTGGGGGATGAGTTCAATTCCCGGTCAGGGGAGGTAAGACTCCGCAGGCCCGCAGCCTGCGCTCCACCCGCAACAAGAAGAGCCACAGCAGTAAGACGTCCACACACAAGGAGCCCGCTCGGCTCAACCAGAGACAGCCACGCACAGCCATGAAGACCCGAAGTACAACACTGCTCATGTTTCAGAGAAGACTAAGAAAGAAGTATAAGACACAAAGCAATAACGGAAACCTTGGCCGTCCTCTGTAAGTCAGACTCACTAGCATTTAATGAGATTTTGTTGGGTCACGTGATTTTTTAAAAAATCTATTGCAAAACTAGGTGGAAAACAGGAAAATAGAAAGATGGCTGGAAAGAAAATGGCCTCTAATATCCGACTAAACACAATAAGACGGCTGAGCCTAATCAAAGACATCGAGGAACCAATTATGTATCAACTTACTGAGGTATCTGGTGGGCAGTTACTGTGTGAAGCTGGTTAAATTCAAACATAGAAGGTTTTGATTAGAAGATTCTTCCAGCCTGTCAGTGTGAGACTATTAAACCAGACTGTGAGGGATGGCTGGAGGCCTGAGATCTTAAGACACAACAGACAACCACATGACCTGGGAAATTTAGAGTCACCTGCTGCTGGCGGCCTTCGGAAAAGTGATGGGAAAAACATCGCATTGGTCCTGGATCAGTCAGGACCCATTGGTCGCCCCTCCCCTGCTGAACTCACCGAGCTCCCTTAGGAGCAAAATTAAAGACGGGTTTCCAGTCCCTTCTCTCAATAACCAATGCACAGTGTTGGGGCCCAGAGAAGATGTAGGCCTCATCTATATTCCGGGTGTTAGCATCCAATCACACCCTGAGGCTGGCCGGGGTCTTTCCTCATGCACAGAAGGGTGGTCATGGCAGGAAGGCATCCAGCTTTGAAGACCAGGCTGTCCCTAAACCCGTGTGACGGGGCCATGCCAAGGCGTTCATGAATGACAAAGACCCTGAGCAAACAATGCTTCTTTCAAGGACCCTCATTCCGGCCAACAATTCTGCCTGACACTTAACACATGACGTCACATCCTGAGTAACCATGACACAGAGGATGTGAGTCACTGAACTCTTCCTGCTAAAATGCAGCCAAAGGCGAAAGAATTCATTCTTGAAGTTGTCGGAACACAATGGAACAGCGATACAGCACGTGGTGTGTGTCAGAAAGGCCTGCAGAGCGAGAGCCAGCTCCTGCCTCATACTGATGCTCCTGTTTCCTGACGGGCTGACATGACTTTTAAAATAGGAAAGAGAGACATGGAGAAGGCAAGTGGGGGAGACTAAACAAGTGAACACAAATAAGGAAATGCTAGGCTAAGAGCGAGCTGTGCTCTGTCAGAATGGAAGCCGGTGGTTCTACACTCTGTCCACCGACACACAGATGTGGGAGCAGCAAAGGAAATGCCTCTTCTCACTTTATCAGCCATCTCTGACATATCAAGTATGACCATTTTATGCTCCTGATTATTCCACTGTGTGCAACAACAAAACACGGCAGAACGAGAAAATGAACATTATATTATTTGACACAAACACCACTGTCCAGAACTATTAAATCCTCCCCAAAATAACATGACAAAATATATATATATATATATTTAGCACACTTTGAAGTATTCCAGCACAACAAACCTTTTCCGAAAATGAAAAATATGACAAAATAAGATACTTGGGTATATAAGTAACATTTTACTTATTTTTTTCCTATAATTTAGATGACTTTGTATCTAATTTAAAAAATACTAAGTAGGAATTTTATTTTGTTATATTTAGGTATTAAATCAGACAACAAGACTTGAACTTCAGCTTCTAGAACACTCCCTTTCTACAAACAAATTGGAAAAACAGATTTTGGATCAGACCAGTGAAATAACCAAACTGCAAGATAAGAACAGGTAATAAAAATATAGAGACGTATAATCCAGAATCATACACTTTCTAGATATGAAAGCCTATTTCAAGTGATTATTAACTATAAAAAAGCATGGCTTTCGAAATGCCGCATCTCTTACTGTACAGTGCAAGGATCACAAGCTGACGGGAACGTAGGGACAGGGTTTGGAGAAAAACACCAAAATGGCATCACCTTCTAAAATAGTCCTTGACTTTGTTCTTTTAACCCTCTGGGCCCCTTAAAGATCCTCTTACACGAATCCTCCAAATTTTACCTCAGGATTTTACATTAATCCACGGAAAACTACTACTGAGGCATTTTGATATTAACAAGTTCTTTACCTCTGAGAACTTAGTTTATTTCAATGCAAAATGGCCTACAGCAGGAAAACTACACCTTATTGTAAACCAATGCACATTCCAAGATGCAATGTTTATTTTTAAAGCATATGCTAAAGTAAAATCAAAAGTTAATATTAAATACAGTTATGTTAATATCTAAATAAAATGTTAAAAGCTCTCAAAAAACTGATACAAAAACCAAGATTACAGTGACCAGAGGGAACTGTTTTCATAGGCTTGCTCAGGTGGGGATGTAGGAGGGTGATTCTGTTCACTTTCAGAATGTGCGCATTTCCTCGTTTCTAATCAGGACATGCATCTACAACATGTAACAACACACTTACACAATGAAGTAATTCTTCATTCATAGCCAAAAATGATGGCACACTTACTGTCTTATGATCATTGTTTCCTTTAATTGAGAACTAAACTGAAACAATTCTGTTCCTTGGGTAACAGATTGAATTCATTATTGACTGAGAGTTTTGAAAAGCAAGTCGATTTTTTTTTAAACTTTTAATTGGGGGAAAATTGTTTTACAGTGTTGTATTGGTTTCTGCCATCAGTCAGTTCAGTTCAGTTCAGTCGCTCAGTTGTGTCCGACTCTTTGCGACCCCATGAATCGCAGCACGCCAGGCCTCCCTGTCCATCACCAACTCCCGGAGTTTACTCAAACCCATGCCCATCGAGTCGGTGATGCCATCCAGCCATCTCATCCTCTGTCATCCCCTTCTCCTCCTGCCCCCACTCCCTCCCAGCATCAGGGTCTTTTCCAATGAGTCAGCTCTTTGCATGAGGTGGCCAAAGAATTGGAGTTTCAGCTTCAGCATCAGTCCTTCCAATGAACACCCACGACTGATTTCCTTTAGGATGGACTGGTTGGATCTCCTTGCAGTCCAAGGGACTCTCGGTTTCTGCCACACAACACACAAATCAGCCATAATTATACGTGGACCACCTCCCTCCCCTCCCACCAGCCCGCCCTGCTCGGCCGTCACAGGGCAGCAGGCTGGGCTCCCTGTGTGAGGGTGACAGCAGCTTCTCAGCAGCCATCTAGCTCACATGTGACACTGTGTGCATACGTCAGAGCTGCTCTGTCTGTCCGTCCACTCCCCTCTTCCCCACTGTGCCCATGCGTCCACTCTCTATCTGAGTCTCTGCTCCTTCACTGCAAATAGGTTCATCGATACCATTGTTTCTAGATATTCCATAAATAAGCATTAATACACGATACTTTTCTCTTTCTGACTTACTTCACTCTGTGAAGCCTGGGGTCACCCACCTCACTAGAACTGACTCAAATTCTGTTCTTTTTGTGGCTGAATAATATTTCATTGTATATATGTATCACATCTTTGTCCATTCATCTGTACCAAGTAGATTTTTATTCTAAATATTTTAATGTTTCACATTTCTCTCTTATGAAAAGTAATATAAAAGTCTGAGGCCAATAATTGAGATATATTAAGAGTCTCTTGTTCCATGTTGTTAAAATGGCCTTATTTAATGTTCCCTTGAGTGGGCTGCAGTAATGCTGGGACACCCTGGTGCTGGACATTGTTCCCACCTTAATTTCTGAGTTAGTATGCTATGATGCTAAAATGATCACTTACATGTGTCAGTTATGTTACCCAGACGACAACTTTATAAATAGTTGTCAAATGGTACTGCCTTTTGTCTAGAAAAGCATGCATCTAATTCTCAATTCAGATACAGTGCTTAATATTTTCACTTATTACAATTTTTTTTCAGCCTAAATTGCTGTGAAATGCAGCCTGAACTGCTGTGAAATGCAATCAACAACTTTCACTACATTTTTTAATCATCCATAATTTGACAAAATTCTTTCCTATGTTAAAGCTTTACAATGTATAAAATAGTGACTCCAACCACACAGGAAGCTGCTGTGTTTTATGATAATTCTTGCTTAAATGATCCTTCACATTCCTCCCTCCCCCCTTAATCCTACACAGTTTTCCCCGGTTAACTGACATTTGACCAGTAGTGTGCTTTTCCAATAATTTCAATCCATTTTTATATGAGTTATTTTTACCATCTGAGTCACCAGGGAAGCCCCTATTTATGAGTTATTTTCAAACATCACAACATTTTCTCCATAAAACCACTCTGCTGAACAAACATCTCTAACAAACTAAAACCCTAGGTCACTTGTAACAGCAGAGCCCCACACTTGAATTGCAAATATCTAACTCAGAATGGTGGCACAGTGGTAAAGAATCCACCTGCAATGCAGGAGATGCAAGAGACTCAGGTTCAATTCCTGAGTTGGGAAGATCCCCTGGAGAAAGAAATGGCAACCCACTTCAGTATTCTTGTCTGGAAAATTCCATGGACAGAGGAGCCTGGCAGGCTGCTGTCCATGGGCTTGCAAAGAGTCAGACATGACTAAACGACTGAACGCACACACCTAACGCAGACTGGAGCCACAGGACTGTTTCTGAGTGACCTGCCATAGTGAGGATACTGAAAGATGCAGCTTTTATCAGCGGACTCACAGAAACCATACATAACGAATCTATACCTGCAGAAGAATAACCTTTTCAGCAGCTGCAGGAATCATGTTCTCTTTTGACACAATATGAAATGAAATGGCAATACTATGCTTCTTTTCATTAACAACTTTAAATAAATAATAGGAAAGTCGTGTTGATTTTATATCATTCAGTGAGTCTGGCATGCTGTTTTCAGATATCTTAAAATTTGAGGTTATCCTAAGATGTGGACTAGCCTAAGATTTCATCTGCAGATTTCATCATTACAAAAATACGTGAATGTATAGCACATTTGACAAACCATATTTTAAATTATCTTCAGTAGTTCTCTCAAAGCGTGATTGCTTTCTTCATGGAACATGAAGTACTTAATTTTTTTCCAGTGAAGTCAAAGTACTTAATAGCACCAACATTTTCCTGAAAATAACGATGAGCTGAAGTTGAAGATTACTATACTTTTTTCATCTTATCATTTCTTTCCTTCTAAAAATAAATGATTTAGGGGCTACTTGCACAGTTGAATTAAATTACAATTACCGTAGTATGATTCAGTTGTTACTGAAAAGCATTGTCATTTATACTGTCCCCTTCTGAAGAGAGGCAATAAAAACACATAAAAGAAACAGGATTCAGCCTTGATATTTCTGCCAACAGGGAAATTTCTCCACATTTCTCAAAAGACCATGAATTATGTTAATATAAAGTTACACAGCACCAATGTCCAACTTCTATGGCGATGATTGAGCAGACCGTCCCGTATCAGGAATCCACGTGAGACGCTAATGAGCAGAGTGTCAGTGACACAGGCGTCCCCGCGGCACCGCCCCTCCCCCGCCTACCATCTGCCCACACTGACCATGGCGTCCGCCGCACTGCGCAAAATTCCTGCTATGAATTTATTCTCATGTCTTATCCCCCTTATTGAATTTCCTTTTACTAGAAAAAAAAGCATAATACAACTCACTAAGTTGACTGCAGAAGCCAGTAATGGGGCCAGATGTGCATTTTGCAGGCCACGGCTCTGAGACCTGATCTCTGAGACTCTTTTAAGCTTTAAACACAGAGATACATGGTCCTGCTCACAGTCAGTCTGATCTGGGATGGCCTGATGCTGGGCTTCACTCTTCAGCACATGCTTATATGTAATTTTAAGATTCAATCTTTAGGCCAGGATGTGACTGATCTCTGGATTATACTGGCAGAGATTTGGGAGAAAGAAAAAAATTGACAATGGGACCATGATAAATTTAAGAGCTACAACTGAATTTACTAATAATTAGTATTAATATTGATTGTTAATGCTTATAGGTAAGACCTGGAATGGGTAGTCAGGCCCTTAGTTAGCTTAGTTAGCTTAGTAATGTTGTTTCCAAGGTTAAAGGTTCAGAAAATGTTACCGCCCACCAAAAAGGAATAATAGACTCACAGATTATTTGAACTAGAAGGGGTCTCCGAGATCATCATCTAATCTAAGGCCTTCATTTTAGGTAGAGATTCATGACTGCAGCTGGACTGTCCCACAGACAGAGTAACACCAGGGGGGCCACGTGCAGAGGTGACATTCTCAGCCCAGAGCTCTGACCCCCAGGGGTTCCCAACACCAAGGGCACCTTCTCATTGCCCTCAATGAGAAAAACCATGGTCTTCACAGGCAGTGCATGTGGAAACTTCTAGTCATGAACCTTACGTTTTCACCAGGGCACTTTCTCCTCATGCCCATGTCATATCTGTGTCCTCTGTCTGATCTCAGCAAGCTTGAGAGCCTCCTTACAGCTCCGGCAACATCTGATTACTTTATAACTCCTGTAACATCTTACCAGAGGGCCCTGCAGAAGCAGAAATTCCATAAATATAAATGACTGTATAAGGATTTATGAAACTGATTAGATGTTTACCAAGCTCATGGCTTTGATGATTATCAGAAAACCCTTCACTAACTAACAATTATCCCCCTTTACAAGTTTCCTGGAGAAGAAAGTTCTAGATATGGAAGACAAGCACATAGTTCAACTTCGGTCAATCAAGGAAGAGAAAGACCAGCTCCAGGTGTTAGTGTCCAAGCAAAATTCCATCATTGAAGAACTAGAGAAACAACTGGTGACGGCTACGGTGAATAATTCAGTTCTCCAAAAGCAGCAACATGATCTGATGGAGACAGTTAATAATTTACTGACTCTGATGTCAACATCAAACCGTAAGTAAAGTTTACATATAAGTTTTTCCTCCGTTTTGTCATTAGTTGGTGAAACTTCGAAAATTCATAGTAAAAAACAAAAAACCTTTATCTTCCAAGAAAGGCACTATTTCTCTTACATATTTCATGTGAATACTGTATAGGGTCTCAATATGGAACCAATTAAGAAGAAGGTGAGAGAGAGGAAGGGGAATATATATTTATACTAATTAACTATTATGAGGCAAACCACCTCAAACAACCTTTTGTTCCTGGGCTCAGAGAGCCTTCTTTTAGTTAGTTCCATTGCTAACAAGGGTGTATAGGGCTGGCGAAGTTACTAAACCACGTGCTTAGTCACTCAGTCGTGTCTGACTCCTTGCGACCCATGGACTGCAGCCCGCCAGACACCTCTGTCCATGGAGATTCTCCAGGCAAAAATATTGGAGTGGGTTGCCATTTCCTTCTCCATTACTAAAGCAGAATAGACCTTTTTTTATTGTTTAAGAGAGAAAAACAATACTAGGCCCATAGGGTTGCTGTGAAGGTTAAATGAGACAATGCTTGCATAAGACCGGTATCCAAGAAACGCCAGGGTCCTGCTCTCACCACACCTGTAACTGCATCTCTCCTTCCTTATTCCTGTTTTACCTTTCAACTTCTGTATTAGAGGGAAGCAGGGATACATCTTCCGTCATTAACTAGAGAGACGATACCCAACCTGTGCGGTATTTTAAGGTTGCTTTTTCTCAAACACTGGGCCTAGCTCTTACCAGAGCCCTTCCAACCGCTTTCTTTCAACACAGATGCACTTTACATGTGATTCATGTAGAGATATTTCTTCATTTCCATAAGAAGTATGTTCTCACATTTCCCTTGAGTCACATGGCTATCCCCACATCAGTAACAGAGGCGTTTAAACAAGGTTTCTACTTAAACCAGGAAACAGAGAAACAAGCACGACCTGTGCTACGTGGCAGGTCTGCAGTACACGCCTTTCAACGAGAGTCGCACTCCTTTGTACTTTAGAAAAATTCTGCATTTTTTCACATGTGTAGAAAAGGAAAAGACAGTCCTCTGAGGCCTGGCGGGACCCAGACAGTGTGAGGTGCTGGCTTTGATGAGCTAAAGTAGAGGAAAACCACACAGCTCAGATCCTGGCAGAAGCAGGGAGACAGGGCCGCAGGACGAGCTTGGTTTGCCCGCGCCTCGGCCGGCAGGTGGACGGAGCTCCCGCCTGAGCGGCCTGCCCGCCCCAGCTGGTCCAGAGCCTGGGGCGCTGGTCAGTCTCTTGAAGGAAGATAAACACATACCTGCAAGAACAGACGCACACAAACACTTTTTTTTTTTTAATGTGGAAAAAAGAAAAGGATTGGGAAATCTATTGAGAGTGAAACAAAAAATTTGAAAGAATTTCACAGTCCTAGATGTTTTACACTTATAAGGAAGAATTTCAAAGACACAGATAAATAAACTTTAGGTTCCCTTTTAACACATGGAGGGCTACAGTCCATGGAATCGCAGAGAGTCAGACATGACTGAGTCACTAACACTTTCATTATACTTTAAGACAAGCTACTAAGAGATGGTTGCTAAAAATCCAAAGAATACTGAAGAGTCTTCACCCAATGGTCTAAGGAAATATTAATATACAAATAGCTGGCCTCAGATACACAAGAAGACGACAATCCACACCACAGCCTAACTGGCGAACTGGCTGTGGGTGCAGCCACTGCAGAGCCAACACTATTTTTAGGTATGTTCTTCTTTATTCTTCTGTAATCACTTTATCTGATTCTACTCAAGATGAAAGATTTTTTCACAAGTAATAGTTTACAAAGGGTGATTGCAAAGTACTTGCATTACATACTTTGTATTGCAAAGTACTTGCAGTACAGTTGATGGGAAGAAAAAGGAAGTATGGATTATTGGTAATGATCTTTGAGAATTAATACCAAACATGCTGAAAGAGGAACTTTTTCAGAAAGGCTTAAGAAACTAGCATCTCACTATAACAATTCAAATGTGATAAAATTACAGATAAGTGCCTCTTAAAATAATCAGCTTTTATCTTTTCACAAACTCCTTTTAAAAGTTTTCCTATTTTTGAAAAACAGCCTCATACTCCTTGCTTGCCAAGGATGAACAAATCGTCTTCAGAGACTGCGGGGAGGCGTTCAAGTCAGGTTTGACCACCAGCGGCATCTACACATTGACGTTCCCTAACTCCACGGAGGCGATCAAGGTAAGGCGCTGCCTCTCATTTTCAGCCCCTGGCTTGAAGCAGGTGGTTTCAGAAGCAGAACAGCTGCTCACACCATGCCAGCGGCATGCAAAGCAAAGCAAGAAACACTGAGCACGAGTAACTCAGAGCCCCGCCGCTGAGCACACAGCACTGACGATGCTTATGAATGATGCAGAAATGGCTATCTCATCCTGTGCATCTGCCTCCTGCAGAAGATCATCTGCTTGTGTTCCCCTTGCATTTGGCTTGGTCACGAATCCTATCAGTTGTTTGTCTTGAAGTGTCAGACTCTCTGTGAGTTGTAAAGAAAATGTTTTCCAAAATCCGAGAGTTTGAATAACCATAGTTTATGCATCGGTCCTCATTTCATGTAACAATGGTTGGTATTTCATTCAAAAAAAAAAAAAAAGCTCATTCAGTTTGCAACTAAAAGTCACAGTTTCTCTCTTTGAGACAGCCACAGGCACTTTGATGTGCATAAGGGATTAATACCCACTTCCATTTGATCAAACGGAATAGAAAAAACACACATGCAGCAGTAGAGGTTTAATAAAATTAATCATTTTTACTGCTTCGTCGGGGACATCCTGAAGTGACACTGGCTTTTTTCCTCCAGCTGCAAGTGTGTGACTGAGGAACACGGTGATGGTGTGCATTGCTAGTTCATTCCAGGGTGCTGGCAGTTGCACCTGCTAGTCCTTCTGTACCATCTGTGCAAATGCCATCACAGCCCTGAAGGCTGTGGACTTGCTGCAGAGGGGCTTAGGGCTGTGCTTATCCCATCTGATGGGCTTTTCTTCCCAAGTATGTCCATAAGTGAACAAGAACCAGAACTTTCCGTAAAGAGAAGCTGGTGTACAGCTTAACTCGGTGTTCTTGGTTATGCTGGATTTCTCAGGAGTGTGGCTCCTGAATTTGCTGCAGGAGATGTTAAGCTTTAGATGGGGGGTGGTGGGGGGCTTCGAGGGGGGAGTCACTTCCCCAGGGAATATTTCAATGTGGCTTCGATAAGGTGAAACAGCCTTACACGAGAATCAGTGTGAAGCACTATATAACTGTGAGACGACTGTATTTGTTAAATACCTATAAATATGTTTACAACTAACTGTAAAAGCAGCTACAAATTGAATGAACGGAAACACTTACGGAAAAGGCACTCAACACTGCATCAAAATGAAAATGTTAGAGGTTCCTGAAAGTATTAGCCTTTTGAACTCAGGATTATCCTCAGTATTTAACATGGTGATAAAGAAAAACACTTTATAAAAAATACAAACATTAAGATTATAAAGACATGGAATTTGAAACAGTAACATATGCTTGATTATGAATTTAAAAAATAAACAGTCAATTTATCTTGAATAATACTTTCCAAAGAAATCTAATTCATTCATGGTGTTCTAAGTCAACCGTGAAAGCCAGTTAATGTCCTAGCACCCTAGAAGCAGTGCATTAGGGGGAGGAAAAAAAAACACAAACCCAGTCTGTTGCCAATGAAAAAGTAACGTGTAGACTCTGCACCAAGCCTTTCAGTCCCCTCTGCTCGCTTTCAGGCCAGCTTCTTATACACTATTGTCTGTCACCAGATGTTGGCCTGCCCTTGGTCTGGAGGCAGGGGGACGGCGGGACAGGAGTGACAGGAGGAGGAAGGGGATGGAGAATGAAGTGGAATGACCCCGAAACAGAGCCAGAGGGGCCACCGCCCCCTAGTGTGGTGCAGCGCTTCCTGCCTTAGTATGTGTCTGCCCCGGTGGCTCTACCAGCCCAACAGCCGCAGTGCTGGAAGAGGATGATATATGGCTCTGGGGTGATGGAGTCTCAGGCCATGGCTGGAAACGCCAGGATTTACACGCCCTTTTACACACATGCGGTAAAAACAACTCACTGAACACCAGGGAACAACAATCTATGAAACCCCCATTTTTTCATCTCTAAGATATACGGTCCAGATTAAGTTACCTCTGGACTCCCCTCCAGACTTCAGACTCCATGATTCACAACCTGAGAAAGTCTGATAGACTTGGGCTTAAACTCTGACTCTGCCGGTGTGTGCCTCTCGGCAAGTCACGGCCCGGCCTGCAGCCTCTGCTCCCTCATCTGTGATGTGCCACGGGCTCCCCTGTCTCACACAGCAGTTTCGGGGTGACGGTGGAGGTGAGCACGGAGGACGGGGCTCGGTGCCCGCCATCCAGTCAGTGTACGGGAAGCGTGACTGTTCTGGCTGCCCCCAAGAGCCACGAGGGGCTTCCCTGGTGGCTCAGTAGTAAAGAATCCGCCTGCAATGCAGGAGACTCGGGTTCGACCCCTGGGTCAGGAAGATCCCCTGGAGAAGGGAATGGCCACCCACTCCAGTACTCTTGCCTGCGAAGTCCCATGGACAGAGGAGCCTGGTGGGCTACAGTCCATGGGGTCGCAAAAGAGTTGGACACCCCTTAGCAATTAAACAACAATAACAAAGGGCCATGAGACAACCTCTCTGCGCCTAAATATTTCAACTAGATTTTTAAAGAAATTCATTAGGTTTTTGTACAAGATAGACATTGCACGGTAGCATTTATCAGAAGCATTGCTGTTTTGCTACTTCAGAGACACAATGGTTTCGTCCCCTAAATTTCACAGAATACCTGACTTCTAACGTTTTTCCATTTGCTGTTTAATCACTTGCTCACCATGGCCTCAGAGTTGAAGCATGACGTTTAAATCGAGTGTTATGTGCTCGAAGACATCAAACTTGAGAGCAAGATACCAGGCCCCTGGACTGTGCTAAGGTGTGCTGATCAGAAGCACTGGCTGCCCTCGGGTCTGCTGTGACTGGAGCAGAGAGGTCGGGGGTGTTATCTGGGGACCTCTGCTTCTCTGACCTGCCCTGCCATTTTCATCAGTACCCCCTGGCTATGTGGGGAGCCCCACTGGAGCACGGCCCTCCTCTGGAAGCAGCATGAGCCGACTAGCCACAATGCTTCGGTTTTTATAAATGCTATGTGGTTTTTTTCCCCTCAAGCTGGACAAATATTAAAAAAATGTTCTCATGAGCCTATCATTGTCCCTAATGGCGTTAGAGGATAGTACGGCTCAGCCCCCAGCCCTTGGTCTTGATTTCCGTAACAAGATGGAATCGTTCTCTGATTTAAATATCAGTAACTCATCAGGGCGATCTTGACATTGAAGAAGAAGTCGCGGAACGAGGACAGGCTCAGTGAGAACAGCGTGCAGGCCTGTCACCCCCCGCACACCTTTTAGGGTAGGAGAGTCCACAGGTGTGCAAGTGACTGCTCAGACCAGTGGAGCTTATTCAGCTAATTTACTAGGATTTTTTAAAAGACATGTTGACAGAAGTCGGCGGTACTGACCCTCTCGTGGACCAAGTGAAAGGCAGTATTATTCATGAACTGGCTTCAGCGTGGAGCGGGGTTGAGGGACTTCTGGCCTATTAACAAAAGAGCCAGGCTTCTCTGTGCTTGGAAGCCTGTGTATCAGTCACTCAGTGGTGTCCCACTCTGGCACCGTAGCCATTCCCTTCTCCAGGGGATCTTCCTGACCCAGGGGTCGAAGCCAGGTCTCCTGCGCTGCAGGTGGATTCTTCACTGTCTAAGCCACCAGGGAAGCCCATTTGGGAAGCATGAGAGAGTAGAAAACACATCACAGAATCAGGAATTAAAGAGACCTTATTCAAATCCTATATGCCAACACTTGGTAGCTAAATGACTCTGATCAATTTAACCTGACTTTACCAAATCTTTTCTCCTTTTGAAAATGCAGAATTAAGAGTATCACAGCAAAGTTGCTGTAAGATCACAGATAACACATACAAAGAACCCAGCCGGGGCTGGGAACGGGGTGATGCGGAACAATGATAAGGATAATTAATAATAATAATGTCAGTTCAGAGAGATAAGGGGTTATCTTAAGCAGATCGATTTCATATGACTGATTAATTTAAGTGGGAAAATTATTTCACTCTTGATAAGTACAATTTTCTTTCATGGAGCACATGTTCCCAAACGTGAGGATCACCAGGAAGGCGATACAGGCTGAGTGACGGTCCTGGGGAGAGCCTAGAAAGGTGGCAGAGACGGAGGACCGGAGAACTGGTGCTGGGTTCCAGCTGCTGCTCTTGGTTCGGCTCAAAGCAGGCTGGCAGACAAGTGCGCACAGTGAAGGGCAGGCCTGGGTGCCCTCTGGGTGCGCCGTTAGCCCCCAGTCCCTAGGATTTCAGCTCAAGAAGCAGTACGGTTCACATTTAAACTTACTGTGCCAAAACCACCTCCAAATTATCCCCAAAGACTGTGGAGGACAACAAAGAAAGAATACTTCTAATTGGTTTTAAACCTTAACTTTCATATTTACTACCTTGAAGGGCATAGGGAAATTTATCTTAACTTTTTGGAAAACTTCTTGATTCTACTGTAATCTCATTATTTAAAACTATTTGTGTAATCTTATTTTCAGGGGTTTTTAATTTCATAATAAAATTCCAGCTGAGCTGAAATTAAGCGTGGATGCTCTTAGATCAAGAAAGAATCCTATGTCCTGAGCAAAGTTTAAACCCACCAAGCCCGTTTAAAAGCAGAAATCAAAAGAGTTGGGAAGAGAAACATCAGGGGCCATGAGCAAGGTAGAGAGAAGCGTGAGGTCAGGGTCTGCAGGGCGGAACTGCCAGGCCCCGCTCGGTTCACACACAAAGCTCCGGACCCTCATTCTGAGGGGCGAACCAGGGAACCTGATTTTGATCCTACATGCGGAGGAAGCCTAACAGCTCCATGGCATCACAGCAGTCTTAGAAGCTCTGCGATCCAAGAGTCTCCCTTTTACACAACTCTCTGAAGAGTTGATAGGGACTGGCAACCATCAAAAAGGTTTTCAGGGATGTGGACACGAAGCAATGGATTTCTGTAGGCTGGAGATGAGAGATTTGGGGCCAATCAGCCAACATGTCCTGTTCCCAACAAATCTCTAAGGAACACAGATCTCTGGGTCAGCTATCGGGGTGGGTCTTTAGCCTAGAACAGATGATGACAAGGTCCTATTTTCATCGACACGTCGTGTTATGTTACTGTTTACTTTTCATCATCATTTTAAATTCATGGTTTTCAATTTCCTTAAAATCCTTTGCCTCTTGGAAGACCACAGAGATTTACCCCAGAGAACCCCATCGGCTCTGGCCGTATTCTAAGTATCTCTGTTCATCTCGTTTCTGTTATGTAAGATGAAGACCCAAGTTCGGACATTTCCCAGGCAGTAACTGTGTGTTCCCGTTGCAGGCTTACTGTGAGATGGAAACGGGTGGAGGCGGGTGGACAGTTATTCAGCGACGTGAAGATGGCAGTGTTGATTTTCAGAGGACTTGGAAAGAATATAAAGTGGTATGAATATTCTTTAAACCATCTGAAAATAATTTTCCTTGTGAAAACTAACTTTGAGAATGTGCAGGACTTCCACCACAACTCTAAAACTAACCAATGACTTTTGACCATTTTTTTTGTTTTGAAACCAAAAGGATCTTTCTAATTGGTGCTTCTGTCACCATGTTAAAGAATGGTCCTGTCCATGTAACATAAACTATACATCAAAACAAAGGCATGTGAAAGCTGGTGGGCTCAGCATTTCTAGGGGTAGACTACTTCATAGCATTTCACACCTCTACAAACTAAGCTGTTTAAGACGATGCTTCTTTCTTAAGATTTTTTGATGTGGACCATTTTAATACTGATTCTGTTCTTATGTTTTGGTTTTTGGCCACCAGGCATGTAGGATCTGAGCTCCCCAACCAGGGACTGAACCCAGATCCCTTGCATTGGAAAGTGAAGTCTCACACACTGGACCAGCAGGGAGGTCCCTATGATAATGTTTCTATTGGTGGTTCTCCAAGTCATTCTAATTATTCCAATACTAATCTCCTTCTGGTAACAGCTTAGCTTCTTAAAACTGATTTTTTTTAAAACCTTATATGGAAGGTCCCAAAGTTTCACAGCACAGGAAGGAATTTCTGCTGAATGTTTGATTCTTGTTCCATGTTAAGTGGATGGACTACTGATTTCAGATATGTGAAGAAAAAAAAATAAGTGAAGTAAGCAAACTTTTCAACTTGAATTTCAGGGATTCGGGAACCCTTCGGGTGAACACTGGCTGGGAAATGAGTATGTTTCGCAAGTGACTGGTCAGAAACGCTACGTGCTGAAAATACACCTAAGAGACTGGGAAGGGAATGAGGCTTACTCACTGTATGACCACTTCTATCTCTCAAATGAAGAGCTCAAGTACAGGTGAGGAAATTACATGTCACTGAAATGAGTTAAAAGATCTGCTGGAAGTCAGAACCCCACTGTATTAACCAGAATCTAAGTGACTCACAGGCTGCCTTAATAGGGAAAAGCAGCTTGTTTCTCAGAGTTCTTTGACGTCTTTAGGCAAGTGTCTCTACTTTTAGCATTCTAATTCTAATGATACAAGGGGAGCTTTATGAGACAGAACTGTGCCTTGTTGTGTCTGCTGTGTATCCTCAGAGCACAGATGAACCCTGTCTGGCAGGTAATTATTTGCAGAAGAAATGAATGTTGGGTCCTTATTATAAAGTACCACGCCAATAACACAGCAGATGTGTGTGTGTGTGAGTCACTCAGTCGTGTCCAACTCTTTGCAACCCCATGGACTGTAGCCCACCAGGCTCCTCTGTCCGTGGAATTCCCCAGGCCAGGATACCGGAGTGAGTAGACATTCTCTTCTCCAGATCTTCCCAATCCAGTAACTGAACTCGGGTCTCCTGCATTTGGCAGGCAGATTCTTTACCATCTGAGCCACAGGGAAGCCTAGCAGATGTATGAGTATGCTGTTTCCCTACAGAAGGCTTTAAAAGTTAAATCTATTTTTGAGAAGTTCAACCCCATTCGGTTGCTGTGTTCCATCCCAAACTCAGGATGAGTTCCAAGCTCAAGAGAGGCATGACTAGCTGGGTGGTTGGGCAGCTGGGTCCTCTGCCCTGGGCTGCAGGAAGATGGGCCGGATCGCAGCACGGCCTCAGTATCTGCGTCCTCCCACCTACTTGGCGGAGCTAATCTCGAATGTTCCAAGAAAAGCACGGGCAGTTCTGAGTGGGAATTGGCTCTTTGGCGCTAGAATGGCCCGAGAGAGGAGGCAGAGCAAAGGGGCCCTGAGCCCTGCTGAGCAAGGCCAGGGCAGGGCAGGGGTTGGGGCAGCTCGCTGTCACGCGGGGGCTCAGGACGCCTGTCGCCAGCGGGGCCAAGGAACCCAGGGTACCTGCGGGTGACTCAGGAACTGGTCTGGGAAGACACAACACAATGGGGCAGGTGCCAGCACACTCTGAGGGGGTCTAGAGGGCGCGGCTGGGGGAGAGTGGAGGGGAAGGCGCGGTTCTGGGGGCTGCAGGGCACACTTGAAACACCTACTCTGAAGTCAGACATGAGAGAAGCTCCACAGCAGTGTCACGGGAGATAGAGGTCAGCTGGCCTGCAGTCCTGGCTGAATTCCACAGATGCCCAATTCAGACCCTCTGCTCAATGAAAATTCCAAGACCTTAGTAGTTTGGGAAGAAAAAAAAAAACTTGTGATTTTTAAAGTCCTTGAGCTGGCTTCTTGGTGAGGCCTCAATGGACAGCTCGAAAGAAAATGGGCTGAGAGCCAGCCTGCTGACAGCTACCTGAGGAGTGCAGAATGTCTCGTGTCCTGCTAAACGGGGGACCAAAATTCAGAAGCGCCTCTGAAAACACAATGTCTGACGAGCTTTGACACAACTTCTAAGAAGTCAGCGATTGGCTCTCATCACACACAGAGCCGGGCCGTCCAGGGTGGACAGGGGCTCAGATGAGTGAAAAGATAGGCGTCTGGGCTGCACTGCAGCCCCAAGGGGACTCTAAAGAGATCAAAAACTCAACGAAGTTTTAGACATGAGTGGCTGGTCACTGTTTTACCTCCAAGCTAAATATTTTTTCAACTGGCAACAGTTAGAACTCTACAACAGAGAAATTAAAAAGAAAGAAAGAACACAAAAATTAAGGATTAGACTATTTATATAAGAAGACTTCACAGAATGGGTCATTACCATTGTATGCTGACATTATAAAAATATTTTAAACTGTGATGGTTCTTAACAGATATTTCCTTTAGAAACACAATCAATTTTTAGATACATGATGTAAAAAAGCCCATGTTTGTTTAAAGCTCAGTTTAATTTACTTGACATTATAGGGCAAATACTACATTGAAAAAATTATTATCCTGATAAAACATGTCAATGTGATAAGAAAACTGCAATGTGACTAAAACTTAAAATAACTATAGCTATTTCAGAACTCCAACTGCATGTGACAGTTGTTTTTTACTAAAGGAATTTTCCCCAAATGTTAGAAAACTGAAAAAAAATACATGTTATAGGAATGTATAAGTGCATCAATAGAATATGATTCTTTTTACTAAAACTAAAAACTATTTGTATATTCATCCTTAAGAACTGGTCACTTTTGTGGTAAAGAACTGCCTGCCAGTGCAGGAGATGTGAGAGATGTGGGTTTGATCCCTGGGTCGGGAAGATCCCCTGGAGGAGGACATGGCAACCGGCTCCAGCATTCTTGCCTGGGGAACCCAGAGGATCCTGGCAGGCCACAGTCCACAGGGTCACAAAATGCTGGACACGACTGAAGTGCCTGAGCACACACACACCAGCATTCTGGCAGCTCCGTGCAAACACTAAGATTTAATTATTAAATACCGGCATTACCTCTCTCACCATTCCACTGTGGTATAAAAGCGACGGGTACCAATTTAAAGCAATTTTGAGAATGTGGCTACTCTTGATAAAGTTTTGAAAAAAGCCAACTTTAACCAGTGGGCCACAGAACAAAAGGATCTAAAGGGAGTCATTCATCTCAGTCCTGCCTGCGATTAATGAGATGGGCCAGGACAGAAATTTAAGTCCTTCTGTTATGTGGCAGCCTGGACAGGAGGGGAGCATGGATACACGTACACGGATGGCTGAGTGCCTTTGCTGTCCCCCTGAAACTATCACAACATTGTTAATTGGCTACACCCCAAATATAAAAGTTTAGAAGAAAAAGGAAAGTGCTTCAAAACCCCAGAAATCAGCAGAATCGACATGAACACGTTACACCAGGTATACAGAGGTTGCGCTTAGAGCCTGGGGTCATGACTGAAACACAAGAGGAGCCTGAAATCAAGAAACTCAGTCCCTGCTGTGCGATGAGGTTTCCAGAGTCACAGTATCGCCGACAATTAAAAGATCTGAGTTACTGACACAGAACTTACTCAGGGGCAGCTTCGTGGGGAACCTACTGGGTAAGGCGCCAGGTGCCCTCAACGACCTCCTCTATCACCACTCCGGGTGCCCAGCGCGGAGCCCTCACAGAGGGGCAGTCGTGGCCGGCCCCCGCTCTGCCACGTCCGGCGTGTCACTCTGGGCGCATTCCTGTCTCAGAACCTCCGCCACCCTACCTGTGAGGCTGGGGGTGCCGCACGCCCACCTCGGGGCTGTTCTGGGCGCTGCTACTCATGCGTGGGACTGCGCGCTGTGGGCGCTGAGAGACAGGCCCCTGGCCAACCTTTCCTCCTGGCTCCACTTTCTGTTCCAAAATGAATTTCAAGAAACTCTACTCCTTCCAAGAAAGTTGCCAGCACATGTGAGCTGGTGTTCGCAAGACGAGTGGCGTCTGGGGGTCTTAGAAAGCAGGAGCATCCCCAGGACGGGAGACTCAGCGACCCCGGCCCCAAGGCCCACACTGTGACGCAGGCTCGGTGCAGGCGCTCGCGTCCCCGGGACCCTGCTTCCCTGGCCTGGGCTCCCCTGGAGTGGGGCACACAGCCCCCCGGCCCTTCTCCCCTCCTCCTGGGCAGGCACGCTGCTGTGGGGAGCCAGATTTTTGCGATCTCCTAAAAGCCAGAGCACAAAAGAACTGATGCTTTTGAACAGTGGTGCTGAAAAAGACTTGAGAATCCCTTGGACTGCAAGGAGATCCAACCATTCCATCCTAAAGGAGACCAGTACTGAATATTCACTGGAAGGACTGACGCTGAAGCTAAAATCCCAATACTTTGGCCACCTGATGTGATAAGCTAACTCACTGAGAAAGACCCTGATGCTGGGAAAGATTGAAGGCAGGAGGAGAAGGAGACAACAGAGGATGAGATGGTTGGATGGCATCACCGACTCGATGGACATGAACTTGGGCAAACTCTGGAGATGGTGAGGGACATGGAAGCCCGGCGTGCTGCAGTCCATGAGGTTGCCAAGAGCTGGACATGATTTGATGACTGAACAAAAAGCATGGACCATCATCTAGAGTCTAATGAATAGTACGCTTATTGATTGTTTCTCAAAGTCTGGCAGGTTTATTACAATACTATTCAGAAATGAGGCCAAGCAGTCACAGGCCAAGTTGTTTTCTACATGGTTCACTAGACTTCTACACCAAGTACAACGGTCCTTCCTAGTCTGCTGCCCTCCCCACCCCCACCGGGCATCTCGAGACTTTGATTACTATTTCCATGATATGGAAAGAGGATCCCCTCACAACGTTATTTTCCCCCCTTTTGTTTATCTGAAAGCAGCAGGAAAATAAATTATAGGGCCCCGAAGTCCCTGCTGATGTTTGTGCAAGTGATACGCGGTGAAGGTTTCATGAAAACATTCCTCTTTGCCTAAGGGTTTGATGATAAGTTGGTTCCTGTTTATACCAGCACAAAAACATTTTGTCCCGGGTATGCATTAGTGCACTAACCGGCATAGCACGTGCTTCTGTAGAATGAAATTCTTCATCATAAAAAACTTTCCACTACGATAAATCAACCACCCAAGCCGATTATATTTTGCTTTTGTTTTTTTTCCTATTTTTCTTTGCATGCTCACAGGATTCACCTTAAAGGCCTCACGGGGACAGCCGGCAAAATAAGCAGCATAAGCCAGCCAGGAAATGATTTTAGCACGAAGGATGCAGACAACGACAAATGCATTTGCAAATGCTCACAAATGCTCACAGGAGGTGGGAGGACTTTTCTTTCTTCCTATTTGTGTTGGCAAGGAAGGGTTTCAGAGAGTGAAAGGTTGGCTATTCGGACTGCAACCTGTGATCGGTGACAGTGTCCAAATTTCATAACTAGACAGACTTGCTCAATGCAGGGAGGTTTGTTTTTCGCTTTTTCGGACTGTTGAGTTTTACGCACGAATGTGATACGGAGCTAGAATTGTCGCCAGGCCAACTGTGTTTCCTCAGGACCTGGCCCTGGCAGGGAGAGGGGCCGTGTGACCCTGAGCAAGCTCTCCTGAGCTTGTGCTGAATATCAGATGTTGGAAAGATGGTTTAATTCCATTTTGCTTCATTAGAAAGGTTAAGAATTCGAAATGGCAACAAAGCAGTGATGTGGATTCATTAGTATAGGAATGTTTCCAATGAATAATTTATAGTTCAAACAAGAAGTTTTCAGTTTTTTTTTTAAAGATGCTATTAATATATTGCAAACACTTATAATGCAAAGAAACTAACTAAACAACCTCCTTTTCTGTGCATCAAATTAAAATGAATGATAGTCCAGTTTAAATTAAGGCCTTTGTTTTCAGGCTGTTCTTGCCTTCTATTGATACCTTCCATGTTAGATCTCTCAAAATAAAAAAGAAACCACACTCATAAACAAATGCGATATAACAGTCACTTATATGGCTGGATGAGTACTCAGAAGCATGTCAGAGTTTAGTGATAGGGACCAAGTGTTAGAAAACCTATTCTTCTAAAAGTTTTAAAGTGGAATAACCAGAGCCAGCTAACTGCGACTGAGACCAAAAGGAAGTCTGGCAAATGCTGTCAAAGTTAGTTCTTAAAAACACTGAAAGATTGAAATCAGCAACGAAAATCCCGCCAGCAGTGCAGACTAAATGCAGAGGCAAACAGGAAGCTGGCAGTGTTTAATTTGTAGAGGCCATGAATTGTATCACCAAAAATTCATTCATTACTCACCCAGGAAAACCAGAGGAACGAGCTGAGGTCAATAAATCTTACAAATATGAGGGACGGCGTCAACAAGTAAAGGATCTAAACTTACCATGTGTTAGCACTGCAGTTAAGAACTGTTTACAGGCAAAAGGAGTTATTTAAGAAAATAGTTTGAAATAAAAGTAATTTTCAAGTCTTTCAATGATACTGAGAGACGGAGGCTCCATTAAGAAACTCAGTCTTATGGTTCCTTAGAGAATGTATTTTATGTATAAATACATGTTGGTAACATAAGCCTTCCTTATTAGCCAGGCCCACTTCAGTAATTATTTCAACCAGAGAATGCTATTATGCGGATTGTGTAAAAGCTGCCTGTCTCCCCCATTGACCATAATAATCCTTTTTAAAGCCAACCAGGGGAAGGGGGTGGGGGAGTGAGCCCTTGGAATCCTTCCTGTTTGCCATTCCCACACTGAGCCCAGCTGTCCACTCGGGCAACAGCGGTTTTCAGACCACCCGAACCTCAGGAGCTACTCAGGAGAGTATCAGTGCATTAATAACCAAGGAAACAACATATTTATTTACTCAGATTAAGATTTAGGGCTGAGAGTGGAAGTGGAAAGCTGACAGGAGAGAAGAAACGCAGCCCAAGAGGGAGAGTGTAGAGGTCAGATCCCAAGCTGTGGTCTGGACCACGGAGAAGCCAGCTAGATCTCTGCATGTATAGTAGATCCAGCAGCTGAGTCAAGCTCTGGGGTGGACGGACTCGTAAGTGTGTAATATTCCTGAATATTATGAAGGATTATGAGCCTCGCACGCACACGTCTTATCAAATCAACATTAATCTGAATCAAGTAATGGCGCTCTTACCCGCCGGAAAGAATTCAGGCATCTGGATGGAGTAACTGGTGCCCAGAGAGCAGTGTGTGAGTATCAGAATGGAACATGAATACTTTCAAAGAAAGAAAACAGGCCCCGCCAGTACTTGCCCCTGGGGGAAGAGTCACATTATTTCTTTTACTAGGTTTGGAGATATCAAGAATAGTTGTTATTCTTTTCTGTATTTTAAAATTTTATACCAATGGCATCATACTGTGTATGTCCTCCCAACACAATATGAAGATTTATCTGGATTAAGGCATGTAGATCCAGGTCACTCCTCCCCTCACAAATCCAAGGCCTCTGGGGAATGGCGTTTCCCCAGACTAGTCCTTCAGGTGTAGATGTGGATGCCCCCCTAGACCCCCACTTTACTTCAGGGCACACACCACTACAGCCTTCAATTTCCTTTTTGTCTCTGGGACTTGAAAATTTGCTTTTTATCTAGCTCCACCGAGTACTTAAAATTTGGGGTTACACTTTCAACAAAAAGACTCTCTTTCTTAGCTGGAGGGCAGCCTGAATCGGTCTGGTCCACCGTGTTGCTGGGACGGGATGGATGGTGAGCCTGGCCCCATGAGACCCACCCACCCATTCTCCAGGTTCTGCCCCTTCCCCACTTTCAGCTGTGCCCGGGCTCTCCTAGTCATGTTGGCGGGTGACTGGGCCTTTCCCACAGCACAGAGGAGTAAGGAAGCTCCTAAGAACGTGTGCCTTAGGCAGCCACGGTCCAACCAGCGCAGAGGTGGAGAGTCACGCTCCCCGCTGCCAGGCAGCTCTCCCCACACTCAAGAGCGGCCCCGTGCGCTCCCTTCACAGGTATGGGATGCGACTCTCCGAAGAGCTGGCATTTCACACTCAATGATGAGACAGTCAGGGCTGCCTGGCTCCTAATGCCTTCTGTGCTTCCCTTTCACAGGCTGGTGGTTTGATGCCTGTGGTCCTTCCAACCTGAATGGAATGTACTACCCACAGAGGCAGAACACAAATAAGTTCAACGGGATTAAGTGGTACTACTGGAAGGGCTCGGGCTACTCACTCAAGGCCACGACCATGATGATCCGTCCAGCGGATTTCTAAACTCTGGCACACACCTGAGGGACAATGTCTTGCCCTGTTTCCAGAGACTTGATCCCAAAGCACTAGAAGACTGCACGCTGTCTCCGCATCCAGCTTGGACGAACTGCCCGCTCTCGGTGCGGAAGGGACCCGTGAGCTCCGTGCGAGCCCTGTGAGGTCTACCCCTTGAACCCGCATCGCTCAGTGAACCGACGCACAACCCCAGACAAGCCACAGCCTGGTGTGGTGACCCGGCAGAAAGCCTTCGGGAAGATAACTCTAAGCCCGCGAACGAGACTGACAATTTACAGACTCTGTTGTCACAACCAAGAATGTTATGTGCGAGTTGATCAGTAAATAACTGGAAAACAGAACACTTATGCCGTATAGTAGAGATAACCTTGGAACTGCATTTTTCCAAGCACTGTTTATAGACTGTGTAAATATCTATATGTCCTGAATTCAGCATTGCTATCATAATTCAAAGGAAGAACAAATTCTGTAAGCCATAAAAATACATTATATATTCAGGGATTTTTGTGAGAAGTGGTTATTAGTAGTTTTAATATTTGGAGAAGGAAAAACATAGCTAATGCATTTTTATGCCTCCTCTTAGGAGCTTTAAATTTTCATTTTGAGGACAGCATATTTACATGTGTATTGATAGCTTAGTTTTAAGTTAATGCTCAAATATATATATTTCAAAGTTTCCATGATGAACACTTTCAGGAGCTCTGAAATTATTAATAGAAACGTGTTCTTTTAGTATATATGAAGACTGTACTATTTTTTTCCTGCCTTGCTGTTAAATATGAAGGTATTTTTAGTAATTAAACATAACTTATTAGGTGAGATGACCACACTTAACTTCTATGATAATACTTACAGCATTGTAATTTGATTCTGAAACAAATGATTGTGCTTCATGACAAGGAAAATCTTGATTTTTAAGGAAGAAAATTATACATTTAATTTCATGACAAAGAGATTTTCCTTTTACTTACTATTCTAGAACAGAAGCCTTGTTTCTCTTCTACCAAGATGTATTTTAGGGGAGTAGACTACAATGTAGCCTGTGGTTGAGAACACCTTTCCATCTGAAACACTTACAAAGCTATAGGGCTCAAGCTAGATTCACCCCACAAGTTATTCAGGGGAAAAACACAATTTGCATCAGTAACAGTAACTTAAATCCTACTAAGCTTAAACCAGGAGTCAACTTTAAAAAAAAGTGTTCTGGAGTGCAAAACCAAAATCTGACATTAGTATAACAGTATATGCAAATATTTACAGAGCATTTCGAGAGCACAGATTTAAGCTCAGCACTGTGAAAACTCCTAGAGTTTTAACTCCGTTGAAGTTTCAGGATACAATTAATACTAATGACCATTTGTGTAATGTTCCATAATTTGGAAGCCATCTCTCATATATTCACATTTGAGTCAGATGTTAGGAAACTCAGAGCCAAGTCTGCAGCCAGCGTTTACCTCTGTCTGTCTCACCTAACACTGTTCCACCACTGTATTTTTTCTTATGTAATTTATTTCACCCCCACACCTCTCCTTTCCCAACTTAGTTTCATAACACCCAGGTGTTGCTGGGCAGACTATGAACACACTTCCCACCAAGTTGCACCTTCCCAACAAATGCATGAACAAGTAAGGAACCTCCTGTCTCATAACAGCTCCTCGCTGGAAATCTGACAGAGGCTGACTGTACACGCAGCTCTGCACCAAGCTGAGAAACATCTGATGGTGAGAAAAAGCCCCTGCTCCAGAAGAAACCACAAGTTTTCATGATATCTCAATGACCACATGACAAACGCCGAGGTGGGGCAATGAAAATACAGGAAAAACTGGCAACAACACACTTAATTTACAGCACTTGTCCATGTAGGCAGATAAGGTGAATTTCAAAGATAAACATCACTAAGTTACTCAGTGTGACATATACTCTCTCATGGCAGAGAATGGGGAGAATCTGCATCTTTACTTCACACTTCAACTCCTTACCTGGTATTTCAAACAACACATCTTGCTGAGAGGAATTTTCCTCTTCTTAAGAAAACATTTATAAAGCCAAGACCAAATCAAAACAGCAATCTCAAAAATGGAAACAGAAATGACAACTAAATAAGCCCCAGGAAGGGAGAGTTCAATTTCGAACTATGTGACAGTCATATGGCATTCTCAAACAGCTGAAAAACCTGGAGATGGGTCACAGATTACAGATCATCAATTATCTTTCAGGCATAACCTTTTGAAAGAATAATCTGTTACAAACCAGTTAACATTTGAAAACAAAAGTCAACTTCTGCACAATCTGACTTCCAAACAAACCTGAAATTACCTACTTATTAATCTTTAAAAACACTGGAACCTGGAACTTTCCCATTAAGAATGTGAAATACCAGAAAGTCAGTAAAGCTGAAGCTAAGTTTTAGAAAAAAACACCAAAACAGAAAGACCACATCACAATGCTAGCAAGCTGCAATTTTTATACCTATCGGTTCTATCTGTTAACAGTAACAGCATCATTATTTGAAGTAGTAAGCAAGACATAATAGCACTTTCTCAAGAATCTTGTCTTCTTTCATTTTTGTGTTTCTTAATCCTAAGGACTTGCATAATTAAATTTTTGGGGATTACATTTCTCATGACTTTTTGAGGAATGGTCTCACATTTATTCTCACAAATAGACAAAATGTGTTGACTTCTGCAAATGTGTCATTTTAGTTATAAGCATAATTGCTATTGATTTAATTTTAAAAACCTGAGTACATATCGATGCCAATAATAATTTCCTGAAAATACCAAATTGCACTTATCATCATAAAATAATGTGTGACTTACAGGAGCTGCAGGGAAGTAGGTAGACAGTTCAAATGGTTCCTCGGAAATCCAGTGACCCATTTCCAAAGACCACAATACCTGTAAGTGACGTGAGAAGCAGAACACTTTTAATAAACCTATCAAGCTTTTAGTGGACAATAAACCACTTTAAAGACACAGTAAAATGAAAACAAAACAAAAAAACCCCAGCAGTGACTACACACTACATGGATCTGAAGCAAGCATCTTGAACACTGAAGGGCTATCAGAATCTTCGGGCTGTGTGAATGTTACAAATATGAATGAATGCCTGGTTAAGGAAAAACATCTCTGGATGGCTAGAAGCCTGGGTTATTATTCTATCTTAGTGAGGCCAGATACTGAACACCTACTTCAAATACTGAACCACCCTACTTCTAAACATATGAAACACTACACCTCCCTAAATTCTAGTTTCCAATTTAGAGAGTTGTTACAGACAATCTTAAGCAAATGACACAGAATCTTATTAATTAAAAAAACTCCAAATATTTGGAGAAGATAGATCATAAACCTAATTTCGAAGAGCAAAACTTCTGGGGTGTAACTTTATTTCTATCATTTGCCAATACCTGTAGGAGAAGTTTTCCATAACACATTGGGAAATCCTTCTCACCCTTCAGAAGAGTAAAATGTCTCATATCATAAACAAGCTTTCATCATCATCATCAGAACCCACACATTTTAGAATAATCAAAACAATGCTTTCATTTTTACTTCAACAACATTTGAGGTTCTGCATTCATCTCTATGACCAAACGCCCTGAATATCTGTGTGAATTCTACAACTAAAATAAACTGAATTACATAACTCACACTTATCTTTTTATCTGCAATTTCCTTCTTTCCTGCAGTCAGTGAATTCATTCTATTTCTCTAGAGTTGTGATGTAAAGTTTAAGGGTTTTTCGCAGATTTACTAGGAATGAAGTCTAAATCTTCCTTTTTGGTAGTTTCTAAACTTCAGAACCATCCACGGAATATCAGTCTGAAATATAACCTTTTTAATCTTAAACCTAGTGCTCGCTTCGGCAGCACATATACTAAAATTGGAACGATACAGAGAAGATTAGCATGGCCCCTCCGCAAGGATGACACGCAAATTCGTGAAGCGTTCCATATTTTTGTATGACAAAAACCACTGCAATGATGTAAAGTAATTAGCCTCCAACTAATAAAAATAAATGGAAAAAAACAAAATCTTAAACCTAGTACTTAACCCAACATGGGACAGCATTTTATTTTGTTTCTAAGACAAAGGGAATGTGACGGTGGAATAAAGACAAGAATGGAATATAGTGTCTGAATGACCATTCTCAGCACTGGCCCAGATCTTACTTTCAACAGATGCATTTACTTATTCAACAGCCATTTCTTTCTGCTCACGATCCATTCATCTGTGAACAACTTACTGAGAGCCTATCAAGCTGGGTCCTGGAAATCCAAACCCAGACCTAGAAGGATTTACCCTCTTGCGGGAGGCATGAGGGGAAACCACAAATGCTGGTTTCTCCAAAGCAGTGCTGGGCACGCTTACAAGAGGAAGCAAACTAGCTCCGGCCAGGAGAACCAAGACAGGGGCCACGGAGGGGCTGACACTGAACCTGGGTAAACGTTCCTAAGGCAGAGGCAGAGGCAGGGTGAGAGAGGAGAAGGTGTTTCAGCACTGGTAGAATACCGCGTGTCAGGACAGCAGCGAAGCAGGTGCTTCCTTTTGGAGGTAGTGGAGGGAGCTCTGGAAGAGGCGGTGAGAAAATAGGGTCAGTGGCTCCACAAGGTAGGGGAGGTTTTCTAGCATACCTTGTTTCTAGCCCTGTGTGCCAAGGACATCAGTGCCAGCACAACTGTTGGGGAGCAGAGTCAGAAGACACGCCAGGAAAGACGGAACAAACAGCCCGCAGCGTGGGGCTCACACTGACACAGTGGGAAAGGAGTGAAAAAATGGAGAAAATCTGCCTCCATTAGAGAGAGAAAGCAATGAGTTGAGTTCTCAGGGACCCTAATCTTCAAACAGATCTCTGTGTACATGGACATTTTGTCATTGAATTCTCTTTTTCTTTCCCCCTGATTTTTACTGCATAACCAACATTTCAAAAAAAAAAAAAAGACTTATCTTAATATATTAATTCAATGAAAGAAGGTATTAGAAAATTTATAACTCTACACTGAAATCATGCTTCTATACTGTTCTTTATGGGTGGTTAAAATAATCCACTGCAGTAACATATTGTTTGCCTTACTTTTATCGGTCAATGTATGTTATCGTTTACAGAGACACATTAGCTCCCTACAAAGTCATATGATTAGCCCGGGAAATAACTGTGGAAAGTTTCAAAACCAGGCTCGCTTCCGACATGGAGCATGTGGAAGAGCAGTACAGTGAGAAACAAGCGCTGCAATGAGAGAGTCCGGGGAACCAGCCTTAAAAGTGGCTTTGGAATTTGAGTTCAAATGTAATCCACATTAAAATGTCAACTGACTTAAACAATCTCGGGGAGAAAATTTACATTCTCTGAATCTATCCCTTTCTAAATATTTTGAAAATAAAACCATCAGGCATCTACAGTAGCATTTTGGCGAGTGAATTAATAAATTTAATCTATGTAGGCGTCCAAGGAATGAGTATTGTACAGAGATAGCAGAAAACATTAATTTGATTGTAATGAAATCATCAAATCAGAGTGTACTTTTTTTTAAGAGTGTAAATTTTTTGCTTTAGTGTTTTCATTAGCTAGATTTATCTTTAACTTAGTAGAGTATTCAAAAGAAGGAAAATCTACTCTGTAAGATGGCAGTCAAGGCTGCAACTTTAGTTAAAAATAAAAGGTTAGGGACTTCCCTGGTTATCCAGTGGCTAAGACTCCAAGCTCCCTGGGTTTGATCCTTGGTCAGGTAACTAGATCCCACATGTCACAACTAAGAGTTAGCATGCTGCAACTAAAGATTCTGCTTGCCGCAAGGAAAACTGAAGATCATGTGTGCAGCAACTAAAACCCAGAGCAAATAAATAAATAAAAATATTAAATAAATAAATAAAGTCAGTACTAAATAAACAAATAAAAGGTTAACTGGGCATATATTTCTCATAATATACATGAAAGAATGAAAATAATCGAGAAGCTATCTAAAGCAAGAGTGGGGCTGCATGAATACAGAGGACCAAATCCCATGAATACAGCCCTTAAAATCCTGAGTTATTTCAGCATCCACTGCAAATGAATATATTTCTAACATTTTAAAAATTATTACTCATAAAACTTGAACCCTGTTGATGAATTTAAATAGGACCCATTTTCTTGTTCTATTATTAGATTAATAGTTAATGATGAGAGAGATTCCCATAATGTAGGACTGATTTTGCAATTAATTCCATACCAGGCAAAACCCAAACAGTTTTCTCATTTTATAGCATCATTTGAACAGGGTAAGAAGTGTAACTAGAGTGAACCCAAGCCAAACAATGGCTCTGAGATTAAATGCAGGTCAAAAAGAGCATCAGACACAAGGAAGAAAATGAAGCCTACTACGATTAAACAGAGCAAAGTGAGCATAACTTATTTTCACCATATCATAAGCCTCAACTAAAACAATGAAACTAAGAGGAATGGGGAAAAAGGCAGATTAAAACATGATGATGCTTTGAAGTTGCAAAGCAGGTGGATAAGTGGTAACTGACTTGGAAGAGCAAAGAAAGCTCAAGCTTAAGTGTCCAGAAAGGGAGTCAGCATTAAATTCCTTCCACAGATTACCAGGAAAGCAGGGAAAGTGGTACTAGCAACCTGTGAAAATGCAATGCAGAACAGAACGAGAAAGAGAAATCCCCTACCTCCCGCCCACTCTCTTCTGGACTAGGACAAAAAGCAGACAGACTTCTGCGAGCAGTGGTGAGAAGTAGGCACAACTTCTACAGCAGAGCCCTCACCCCAAAACATGAGCGCAGAACCATGATCTGTCTGGGAAACAAATCAGCTCAGGGAAAAAAAGATATATAGATAATGGCACGTGGACTTCCCTCTGTCAAACACCTCCACCTTATCAGAAGATTTACACACTCAGGCAAACAGGATTTCAATCAGGTTTTCAGTTCTCATTATTAAACATGACTTTCTCCTCATTGGAGAAAAGCCTCTAGTATGAAAACAGAGAACAAAACAAACCAAAGGGAATTCCTTGGATGACAGTGATGGGAAGTCCCAGGACACCAGCTTCTCGAGAGACCAAGGGAGAACCAGTCTCAAGGGGAGCAGAAGAACAAAGGGATTCAGGGGTGGGAACCCCAAGAAAGACAGATGGGACTGGAAGATTATCTGGTGTGCAGACAATTGTGGAGAAAAAACTAAAATGCTTTTAGAAATTTTTGCAGTGAGTTAGTGGTAGGCACATAGAAAAAAAAAAAAACCAAAAAACTAAGTAATGAAAATGACTGTCAATGACTAGCTTAATGACTGTCAATGATTAGCTTCAGAAAAACAAAGATTACCAGAAACGAAATAGAATCATGGTATATAGTATGGCTCAGCTTAAACAGCATTCACATAGCCATTTGTGTGTATGTAGATGTGAATGAGGGTGTATATACACATATATGACGTGGTAAACAAAAATCAGACCATACTGGGTAGATGGGGAGGGGACGTGTATGTCACAGCGAACACTGCACAGTCACATTTTAATCTTCCATAGAGGACGGCTATAGATGATGTCTATGAGAAAAAAAAAAAAACCAAACCCAGGAAAAGCATTTTATTTAGAAATATGTAAATAAAATATCAGAAGGCTATTTTAGGAGAGAATCTGGGCCGGGAGACAACATGGAAGGAGTGCAATTTCTATTAGAGGCCTCATAAATTACATTTGATCTTGAAAACATTTTATTTGGGGTAATTTTACCCTTACCAAAGAACTGCCAAAACAGTACAGAGTTCTTTGCCAGCCACCTAGATTCCTATATAGCCCATGGGGTTGCAAAGAGTCAGACACAACTGAGCGACTTTCACTTCACTAGATGCCTCTAACGTGCAAGTCTCCAACTTAGCTCTTCTCTTACAAAAGTGTGCTGCA